TCTTCGTCCATTTCTTCGTAGTTGATCTCTTTTGTGTCCGAGGCAGCGACGACCGACGTCGTCGGCGGGTCGGTCCCAAGGTAGCTCACACACAACCGCCCGTCCTCGTCCAAGCTCACAATCATGCCAGGGATGCCCCTAGATAACCTTTGTGGTATCGTCGAAATGTACATCGCGTACCCGAATTCCCCGACGCCAAGCGCCGTCGAGACGGTCGGGGCCACGGCCGACCAAACGAGATTGGCGGCTTTGTAGATCATCCACTGCTTGGCGTGCGTCGCCAAAAGGACGTTGGTCACTGGCGTGTCGTCGTCGTCTACCCAGATAAACGAATACGATGAGGCGAATGTGGTTTTTGCTACCGTTGGCCGGGTACAGTCGCAGCGCCGACGGGTGGAACCCGAGACGTTTCTGGAAGCAGACGTCGCCCGTCGGCCGGAGGCAAAAGAGAGTAAACTCGCAGAGCACGACGATGTCAAAGCTCTTGGCCGACGTCGTTGGAGCAACACGACCGATCTGTAGGTCGAGAACGGGCTCGCCGACGTTGACGCGCCACTCGGCGTGGAGAGATTTGCTTCCGGTCGCTGGTTTCTCGTCCTTGGCAGCCTTCTTGGAGGTGGCGAGAATCTGATATCGGTAGCACTCGACGTGCAAATCCGACGTGACCGTCAAGATCGAGTCGATGCTTGGCGCATAGCACACGGGGCCAGGCACGAGGCACGTCGGAAGCTGCTGTAAAAACGCAAACCGATCCTACGCACGTCTCGTGTATGCCCGGCCGCGATCGGACGACGACAACGGCAAGGACGACGACGACGGCGGCCAGGAGTAGTTGCTTTGCAGCATCCTCTGTCGTTGCCTAACTATAGAGTCAATGGCTGCATGCATGTCATATGAAGGAGTACTATTCAGAGAGAGATTGCGCGAGGTGGCGCCACGAGCCGCGGCGGGCGTCCCCTGCATAGAAGAGACGCTCATAGCGACGGACACCTCGGCGCTTGGGTGGCTAATGTCGAAATGCAAAAAGACCCATTCTGATTGGCGGAAATCCAACAAAGTTCTCGCACGGGATTGGTTCCCACGCTTTTGACAAGCTTCAACCTTGACGTGGCGATCGCTGCTGGGCCAAGATACCGATGGTTTCCGGCCTTCTCGAAGTTCTCCAAGGTACTCATGGAGGCTACTGCACATCACATATCACATGCATACATAGCAGCGGGCGTGGACATGCGCGAGGCCGGCGAGGGCACGCGCGAGAAGCTCCAGCCGTTGATTGCGCTACCGTCGAGGCGATCTCGTACGCAATCGTCGCGGTCTGCAACAAATGTACACTGACGCGAGCATGTTGGCTGGTCAAAGGCGCCGATGACAGTCTTGGCGCGGACCAAACCTGACAGCAACGCCGACGTCTTGCGCGCTGTACGTACATGGCATCGCATTTGAACCCATGCATGTGCCAATGGAATGCAAAATGCGTGATCCTGTCCATTTGACAAGCAGCCAACTACATTGCACCTCGGCTGCGCCACAGACCATGGTACACTCAGCATCGCTTCGTATGGAATAATCGCATGAGGTCCTAGTAACCATAGAGTACATACACGCAAAAACCAACACATGCATTCAAGTTACGACAAGCCCTGGCACTACGTCCCAACGTCATCAGAGATCTGTGTCGGGGGCGGTGAACGTGATGCCAAAGTTCATTTCGAAGCGTTGTCTGCGGCTTGGGCTCATGGTGCTTTGTTGGTGCAGCTGCGCGTATGCGGCGCCCAAGCGAAAACCCCGAAGCAGCGTCGGTGTCGTCGGCACATCGGGCACGACATAGTCGGCCGGGATGTCAAGGTCGTCGTGCGTGTAGTTGTACACCCAGAGGGCCCATTCGACGAGGTGCCAAAGCCCGTCAGTGCTCGCCGATGTGTCCGGCGAGCCAGGCATGGTCGCCAACGCGTCGAACGCGCCAGCGGCGGGCCCCGTTTCGATGTACTCGAGCGCGGACACCGTGTCAGCCGTGAGCAGGCAAAGCCGACGCGCCTCAAAGAGTCGTTTGACCCAGAAAATGAGGCGGCGGTGCCAGAGCGACGGTGGGTACCCTTTGTCGCAGGGCACGAAAAATCCTTGACGCACGGACACAGTGCCATGGAGTTGCCGGTGCACGAGCAGCGCATCAAGCACGTTGCGCCACGTGTCGATCGTGTTGAACTCGAACCGGACGGACGCGAGATCGGTGCGCTTGCTGTCCGAGAGCGACGTCAGCTGTAAGCCGACCTTGAACGCCAACACACCGAGTGGGAGCTCTAACGCTTCGGCCGGCCAGCCCGCGGTGCCAGGCGAAACGATGAAGTCGATGGGCACGCGGCAGTGGCCGTGGATACGGCGGTACGCGTTCAAATGCGCCATCAAGACGGACCAGCGCGGCAGGTCCGTGTGCAGCTCCAAGTCGTGGACGCGGAGGCAAATGTCGTCATCGAGCACGTAAAACTGCGATCGCAGCCACGGGATGATGGACGCAAGCACGACGTCCCGCGCTGCCATCGGCCAAATGTTTTTTTCGCAGGCTCTTGGGACGACATGGAAGTCCGTCATCCCTTCCAAGCTGTGCATCATGCCGTGGAACACTTCAAGCGCCTCGACTAGCGTCTCCCAGGGCACAAACTTGTTGGCTTTGCGTCCTTGGTTGTCGCGCGCCGTACAGCGCCCCAGACAGCGCCCCTCGCTATCTTTCTTTTTGATCGTCCAGTTGAAGCCGAGGCTGTCCAGAACGTTGACGTCATCGTCGTCGTGGACCGAGCGCGACTCGCGCACACTCTTCACGACCTTGCCGAGGGGCTGCGAACCTTCAGCTAGTCAAACGATTCGTTGAGTTGCAGTATTGTGTCGTAGGGGCTACGAACCTTGCGACGCCGGTGTCTCAAAGTCCGGCGGCACGTCGCAGTCGCCGTGCACCGCGCGGTACTCTGCCAGCGCTTCGACAATCCATGTTGGCAGCGCCACCATCTTTCGATTGTGTTGCATCTGACTCCGCATCGTGGCGCTAGGACCATCATTTGCAAACTCATTCGCCAGCAAGTGCGTCACAGAGAAGGCATGGATGACGCACTTGTCGCCGATCGTGGCCGACGCCGACTTGGGTTGGGAAGACGTGACCGAGGCTGCGATCACAGAGCTGCTCACGTCGGCAAAGGCGCCGGCGAGAGAGATGACAGCGCCCGAGATAGCGCTGCAGCAGGACACGAAGATGGATCAAGCAGGAAGATGCGTACTACTACGTCACACCAGCCCAACCCGCCTCGTTGCCTGACTATAGAGTCCTGACTATAGAGTCAAAATGACTGCATGCATGTCATAGAGAGAGAAATTGCGCGAGGCCGCGCCAAGAGCCTCGGCGGGCGGCCACTGCATAGAAGCGACGCTAATGGCGACGGACACCTCGGCTCTTGTGTGGCAAATGTCGAAATGCAAAGAGACCCATTCTGATTGGCTGAAATCCTACAAAGTTCTCGCATGGGATTGGTTCCCACGCTTTTGACAAGCTTCAACCTCGACTTGGCGATCGCTGCTGGGCCACGATACCGATGGTTTCCGGCCTTCTCGAAGTTCTCCAAGGTACTCATGAAGGCTACTGCACATCACATATCACATGCACATAGCCGCGGGCGTGGACATGCGCGAGGCCGGCGAGGACACGCGCGAGAAGCTCCAGCCTCGTCGACGCAGCCAAGTCGCGTTGATAGCGCTACCGTCGAGTCGATCTCGTACGCAATCGTCGCGGTCTGCAACAGATGTACAATGACGCGAGCATGTCGGCTGGTCAAAGGCGCCGATGACGGTCTTGGCGCGGACCAAACCTGACAGCAACGCCGACGTCTGAAGCGCTAGCTTTAGTCGTTTAGTTAGTCGAAACGAGATCTTTAGTCAGAGTAACGGACCGACCTTTCGGTGCCGGAAGAATGCAATCACTTTCCGATTCGCAAGCTTCTGCGCAAGAATGGCAAAGCCAAGTCAGGGGTCGCGGCTGGTCCTGGTCCAGTCTGACAAACCCCCTGTCAGAGCCTCGGGGGTCACGGTCGACTTCCTCGCGGCTATGGAGCGTCCTTTAATGCTGGACGAGGACGCCCTCTGCCGCGGCTAGGAGGGTGGCCGCTTTGGCCTCTTGCTCGAAGTCGCAGCTGAGAGCGTCCTCGTCCAGCATTGAAGAGCGCTCCATGGCCGCGAGGAGGTCGACCGTGAACCCCGAGGCTCTGACACGGGGTTTGTCAGACTGTGCCAGGACCAGCCGCGACTCTTGGTCGGTTTTCAGCTTCTTGGCACCTTCGGTACTCTGCCCCTGGCTTTGCTTCGTCTTGGTCGCTTTGCTTGACTTTTTGGACTAACACAATTTAGTATGAGCAATGTGTGCGGCGTTGAGAATCGTTTCGTACACGCTCCTCCTTGATCCACTTGATGCGGTCCGGGATCGGTTGGCCAGCTGCGCCCTGTACGTGTACGTGCATAAAATCATGTTGTTGGTCAGCTTCAACGTACCTCGCCCAGTGCGACAGCTTTGTGAAAGTCCGCGGCCAAC